TGAAAAGCGCTATGCACGGTCGAAGCGCGGGGTTTTCTCGATGCGGAGCGGCTATGGTATCGGTGCATGCCCTCCTGGAACCTTCACCTTTGTTGATGGTTCCATCTTTACACATGGAGGGTCATCCTATGCTCGTTCAACTCGTACTCAAGGTTCATCTCCTGTAACAATGCTTCAACTTGCAGTCTGTCTAAATGCTTTGTACCAAGATCTGCAATGTTCTTACGAGTACCAACTTTGTTCAACTCAAGTTCCTGGTTCTGTACTCGTTGTTGCAACCACAAGAACGATCGATCTATATGCTTTGCTCTGCCATGCCCTTTCCTGCTCAACATGGCCTTTGCTGCTGCGGCATCAAAGCACAATCGACCTCGCTTGGTCTCACCAAAGTCAAGAGCCATCGACATCGCTCCCAACAATGTTGAACCTGCTTTCACACCTGCATAAAATTCTGACTCACCACTGCTCAATGAAATGACATGTTGTGTGCTGCTGTAAAACTTGAGAAGATGTGAACCGTGCATCAATGCTCCACAAGATGTTGACTTCCTAGTCTTTGAACAACCAGCATCGTCACTGTCAGTATACATAGTGAAGTGCTCTTGTGCCAACTGCTCGGGATACTTCCAAATCAATCTAGGAGCACCATGCAAATATCTCACCAACCGTTTCAAGCCATTCCAATCCGACCGACAAGGCTTTGCCATGGCCCTTGCAAGCTCCTTGCACGCAAAAGCAATATCCGGCCTATCCAATGCAAGATAGCAACCCCTCATAGTCAAGCTTCTGAACCTGCTGCTCTCTTCGGGTGTGAGCATTTCTTCCTTTTGTTCTGATCTCTTCACGCCTGCTGTAGGGGCGCTCTTAGATTCAGTCAAGTTCAACTCCTTGACCAAAATTTGCACATGTCTAGGATCGGCCTCAATTGTCGTCTCATGCGGGCCATAGTGTACAAGTCGGTTCAAGATCATCGCATCTTGCACGTCGCCTTCATCAGGTCCCAACATACCACCATCTTTGGTCTCATATCTTGTCAACAATTGCTTCTTCAACCAAAGAAGATCATCTTTGCGACCCAATGAAGTGATATCATCCCCGTGAACTGAAATCTTGATGTCACGAACACTGTGAAAATACAACACTGGACTCCCCAACCCTGGGGTAAAGCCTTGACTTGTGAAGAAGTCTGTGATCTCAATCTCCCATTGTCGAGCTGCATCCCTGCAACCATACATGGCCTTGTTCAACCGGCCACAGTAGCCTTCTTCTGCAGCTTCTGGTGGAAGACGAACATAGACTGTTCTTTCAATCTTGACAATCCAATATACTCTTCTAATGTCTGTAAACATCACCTTGTAACCTTGCTTGCCTGAACGTTGAAGTGACAACAAAACACGGATGGATTCCAAGGGTGGTGTAGCTGCAAAAATTGCCTCAACGCCACTGTGCCTCACCTCTTGAATTACCAACCTGCTTCGGTAGTTTGGGTGTTCAACGTCACCTTTATTTATGTCTATCCAACGGGATCCGATGGGTCCAGCCCCAGTCACATCCCATGCCTCCTGTGTTGGAACCAATGTCCAGACATTATAGCGAGTGGCATAGTCAATCTCTTCTGCACGAGCTGCCCTCACCTTGCCTGTTTCAAGTGCTTTGCCCGAAACTTCATCAATGAATGTTGTCCAGTCCTCCTCGTCCAACACCGTCTGATCAAAATATGGTTCTTCATTCACGGGTCCAAACTCCAAAGAACTAAGTGGTGACTTCTTTTGCATCTGTTGCTTCAACCCTTTCAAGATACGTTGCAAGAGACCATCTGGATAAATCTCTGCCTGCTTAGCCTTGCCACCAATGAGTTGCACATGCCGATGCCACTGACTGTTGTCGTCTTTGTAGTAGAAAATGGTAACAATGTCACGTGACTGTCCCGACAACTTTTGATGCAACTGTGAACGAGTGGCTTGCTGAAAATCCTGAAGATCTTGAAGCACTTCATTTGTGTTGAGATCCATTGTAACTCTTCTCACGACTTGTCTCCATGCAGGTCCACCTTTCTTCAGTAGTTGCAACTTGTTTGCATTGAAATCAACTCGCTTCCAAACCTTGAGTTCATTGTTCACATTTTTGCAAAGAACATTCAACTGCTCTGCAATACATTCTGAATTCGTCATGAAGCCGGATGGTTTCTTCACAGCTCCAACACCATGCTCATCCTCTGCCTGCATACCAAACTGACACATGTCCCCTCGAACCTTGTAAACTGTGTCAAGCTCTTCAAGCTGTTTCATCGGGTCTTCATTCCACGAGGTTGCAAGAAAAGGATGTTCATGCAAGAAGTATTTCTTCCTGCTCATCTGCTTCCGGTAGAGCTCACAGCAAAATGCTAGATGCTCTTTTGCCTCCGCCAGCTTCTGCACGTTGTCCCATGTATCTGCAAATCTCTGATTCAAGCCTTGCAAAATACTGAATGGTCCACACGGCGGACAACCCACTAGAAGTTCTGGCTGTAATTCATCAACTAACAAATGGGCTGCTTGTCGTCTGCTTGCTTGTGTGAAGTCCCAAGGAATGCCCTCATGGTCACATGTCCTCAAGTCCAATGCAACACCTGCTATCAAACCTTTATTGTGCCCAAATGCTGTCAACCGTGGTGGAGAAAACACCTCAACGACAACTGGTTTCCGACCTGTCTGATCAATGCCGTAGGCATCATACAAGCTCAAGCTCCCCAACTGCAACTTGATCTGTTGTTGCTCAATGAAATCATCACTCAGCATCTGTTGTGTTTCCAACCAAGAAGATTCTCTCAAACAAGGATGGCACAAACCGTGCTTGCTCAATGAAAACAATTGGAGTGAACTGATGTCCATCACCTGAGCTTGCTCCTCCACGCCACGCTCTTCTCCCATGCCATCATCAAGTAAGTCAGCTGCTGTTCCAGGCGGCTCCTTGATGAACTCGATGTCAGGAATGCCCTCCTGACCCGACACCTCCTCCACCAGTGCACCCTCAGCCCCCTTTGGAACTTTCGCCTCTGGTGGTTCATCCATGGACAGTTTCCTCTTTCGAGCTTCTGCCTCATCCTGCTGCTCCTTGAACTTCACCATGAAACGCTCTGCTCGACGCTCCATGCGCTCCACTTTGTCACGACCTTCCTCAGTCTGCAACATGGCCTCCCTGATCCTTTGTTTGCAAGCTGAAGAATGTTGTTTGTGACTCAATCCAAGTTTAGCTGCTTCACAACCGTCACAACCTGGAGTGTATCCATACTCTTCAAGCTCAATGTCCCGACGGATGTAAATGCCTCGGGGCTTGTAGCTCTTCTTCCTTTTCACTTCTTTCTCTTGCGTCGCTTCCGCAGCCTCTAAATCCAATGCCGGCAAGTCAACCTCGATCTCTTTTGGCAAACTCTTTTCTCCCATGTCCTTCTTTGGACGTAGCTGCCACGGAAGTCCGATCATGTTTGAGTAGGGAACCATCCCATCGGTCACCTCCAAACTTGCACTTGATTGTCCAACATCGATGAACTCCTGTACCTGTACCAATCCACTTCATGGCTGATCCCTCCTGAATGCCCAAGAAGATGCCTTCATCGAACTTAGGATCAAGCTTGCTTCCAGATCTTTCGCCCTTCAATGGTTGGTACCATACACATTCACCAAACTCTGGCGTCCTAACTCTCCACGGCTTTCCAGTCGAACGTTCAAATGGAGTTAACCCATCTGCACCTCGATTGTGTCTGCTGAGCAAGGCTGCTGCATAATCAACCAACCAAGTCAACACTGAATGCCGTGGATGTATCGGTCCATAATGTCGTTCAAGTGCACTCTTCATAGTTCGAGCCTGGGCCTCAATCTTCCCAATGTAACTCTCAATGAGTCCATTGCTCTGCGACTCACCTTTGGTAGCATCTTCACATGATAATGAAGGGAACAAACGCTGCAACTCGTTTCTCAAAGCAACCAACGACCTCTCATTGTCGCTCTTCAGAACTCCTCCAAGGCATCCCGAAACCTTCAAAAGCTTTGAGACTGCTGCAACATTGTATTGATGCTGTACACCCTTCTCTGGCATGCAAACGGCATATGTTCTGCCGGTCTGTTCTTCTACCATGGCCAAAATGGGCAAACTCTGCTCTTCATCCTTGCCAAGATAAAAATAATCTAATGCTATCAAAGGTCTCCGTTGCTCTTTAGCATCTTGACCCAGTCTCTGTTTCCGATGCGCCTCAGCCAAACCTTTGCCTCTGATGCAATCTGCACACCAGCTTCTGTACGGAATGTGGCTGATCATATGCTCACGTTTCTCCTCCTCTGTAGGTCCAATAGGAACACGGAGTGCAAGTTTCTTTGAAGTAGCCTCCTGGACCTCATCCTCTAATTCTCTTGCATGAGATGCCACCACGTCCAAGTCTCCTTCACTTGGCTCATACTGCTCATAGTCATCCGGAAGTGGCAACTCAGGAACTCTAGTGTGGCCTTGGTATAGGTCACTGCGATCACTCACACCATCATCGAATTCGGGATGGGAACCTGAATCTCTCAACTCTTGTGGCTCCTCATCCAATGCATGCAACTCATAGCGGGGCCTTACGCCTGCGGATCCGCCGGGGCACTGCTCCCCGTCGGCTGCCCGCAGAAACCCGTGGTCTCGGCATACGGGATCACATGAAGATACAAATTGAAAACTGCATCCTCTTGATACAAATTGAATGTATCACCCGTTTCCTTGTCTTCAATGTAACTGCGCTCACCCTCCGACTCCAAGACGATCCGACGTCCTCGGTTGCAGATTTGAGCCGCCGATGTCAACACCTTGCCAACTGCTGCCACCTGAAACACCATCTCTCTCAAGTGGCCCTCTGATGTCATCACAATTGGCCTGACCTCACCATAATGCTCGACGGTCTCTTCATTCGCTGCAACCAAAACTATCTCTTCTTCATCATCTCTAGCCAGCACCGGGTAGTCTGGAAATGTTCCCGGAGGGCAAACTGACATTGCTGCTCCACTGTCAACATTGGACAGCACTGCATACGTCTTGGATGACAAGGTCAAATCAATGCTCTGCTCTGTCCCTTGTCCATCCCCACTCGACCCCGCTCCTGAGCCTCTTGCCCTTTTCGCATGCCGACTGCTCAATGCTGACAACCTCTTGATGGTATTGCCACCAACCTGTTGCTGAGCCTGAGACACTGATGGACCCAACACTGAACTGGCCTGAGACAATGCTCCAACAACACTTGACTGTGGGGATCCTTGTACAGCCTGCACTGCATTGGAACCACTGTTGATCCGCTGGAAATCCTCCACCGCTCTCCTTGCGTACTCTGACTGTAGTTGTGACAGCCTTGGATCAACAGAATTCAACGGCTTCACCTTCTTGTTCCAACAATACTCAGCTGTATGGCCCACCTTCCCACAGTTTGAACAAGTGGACTTGTTCTTGCCTTTGCCGCCATCCTTGGATGATGCTTTTCCTTTTCCTTTGGAATCTTTTCCACCCTTACCTTTTCCTTTGTCTTTGCTCTTGCCTTTCCCAGCTCCTTGACCACCTTTGGCCCTCTTCAGCCAGTCCTTGATGAGATGCGGTCCTCCACACTCAAAGCAACCACCTCCTTTGCCCTTCGACTGCAATGAACCAATGTCCATGCTGGTGGCGGTCAATGACTGGGTGTGTTCAATGTAGGTGAAAACCTCTTCTCGCAGCTCCATGTATGTTGTATACCTCTGAGCATTCAACTGGAGATGTTCTCTCAGCCGATTGGGGCACATGGAGACTGCTGCGGCCATCTTGATCGCCTCACTGATCTTCTCTGCATGCGGCCTTGCTTCAAACTCCGTGATCTTGGTTTCCCACGACACAATCTCTCCGGCCAACTGTGCAATAGGAACATTCGAGGGTGGATTTGCGATCGTGGTCAAGCCCGCTCTCTGCCGACCAATGGTCACCGGATTGAAGCGTCGTTGCAACAACTTCCAAGCCTCATACCCATTTGGCCGTCTTGCCTGCCTGACAATGTTGCGAGCCTCACCAACTGTAAATGTGATCAACACCGCATACAAATTGGAATTTGAATACTCCAATGTTGCTCTGTCAATGTTGGGAAAATGCAATGACAAATCATCAATCGAAACTTGTGCTACCGGTTGTGTGTCCTTGATGTGTTCAAGCAACTCCCAAGTCCCTGGAATCTGTGCATCAACACATGTAATCACATGATCACTCCAATCATTGAATGCAGCATATCCAGGACTCTTGACAGGATCATAGGTGCTTGGTTTTGAGAGCACCTTAGCATCAACTCCACCTTGCTGGATGGCATAGGCGATTGCCGGATTCACACCTGGCCCCAATCCTCCGAGCCCAGCTACCCCTGCATGTCCGCCAAGGTTCAAATTTGGCGGTGGAATGAACTGAGCATTCGGTGCACCCGCTGCTCCCATAGGAGGGGTTCCAAGTGGCGACCCATGAGCCTGATGTTGCGGTGAACCTTGAACTCCGGGTGCAGCCTGGGGAACCTGTGGCGGTGATCCGGGAACTGGTATCTGTGCTGCGGTCTGCTGCTGCATCTGTTGTTGCATACCTTGCAATGCTTGGGACAGATTCAACACCTCCTGATGACTCTGTTGAATGGCAGCCTCGATCTGCTGTTGCATCAACACCTGACCCTGTTGCATCTGCTGGATCTGTCCTTGTGCATCCTGCTGATTCTGATGCATTGCAGCCTGAACCTGTTGAACAACTTCCTGAACAACACCTTCAGTCACCTGTTGTGTCACGCCAACACCTTGAGCTGTCGTTCCAACTGCTTGCTGCAATGTATCCAACCTAGCACGCTGCTGCTGCTGTTCATTGGCCATTGCCTGCAACATGTTCACAATCTGGCCCAAATCATTGGCACCTGTTCCACCGTTCGCAGCACCATCCGCCATCAGAACACTGAAGACAACTGGAGTAAATGCAAGTCCAACTAATGTCAAAAATGCAATGATCAACCTCCAGCCCAGCAGTGTCCAATTCAAACGGAATCCGGTTCCGCCCTTCGGGCGCGTGCTGGCGATGCCTCGCAGAAGCACTTCCCCCGTCTCAGATGAACGTGTCACTAAGTTCCCTCGGGGTGAAAGTCCTCGGCGGCGCATCCACCAGCTGATCGGATCTTCTGCTGTTGTTTAAGCGGCCAGCTCCGCTACCATGAAAAGCGCTATGCACGGTCGAAGCGCGGGGTTTTCTCGATGCGGAGCGGCTATGGTATCGGTGCACATCCGAAATGGAGGGGATGTTTGTCACAAAGCACGCGGATTCTGTATGTGCCCGTCCCTCGTGAAGAGGTTGTTCAAGTGAAATGGGGAGGCTTATTAATCAAGAGTCTACATTAAACAGACTGCAGGTCAATCTGGCCATGCTTTGACACGTGCGATATGGGTGTGGCCCGCACACAATGGGACAAACAAGCCTTGCAAATCAAGAGGCCTGGAAGTCCACAAAAAAGCACTGGCCGAAAGAACAGCATCACATGAACCTATCTCCAACACACTTCATTTATACTTAAACCACCTGCTCCCCCCAAAAAACCATCTAAATTACACCGAATGGAAGGAGGCACACAAGGAGAAACAGGTGTTTCTTCCACCGGAACCCCGTCCTCCGTCTGTCCGTCGCTCGCTCCCCAAGACGGGGCACCGTCACTAAGGTCCGCAAGACCAATTTCAGCGGTTCGTCCGCACTGCGGAGCCTCGTTGAGCAACTGAAACATCCCGTTTTGCATGTTTTTATAACGAGGGGCGTTGATGATTACATGGGAGAAAGCGGTTGTTCATTCCGAATCCGGGCCGAAGGTCGTGGTGACGAGCTTAGAAGTTGGGTCTTTTCCAGTTCGATGTTCCACCCGACGAGTCCTGTATACGTGAGACCATGGGCAAGCCTCTCCTCCGAAGCACCCAACTCCATGGAACTCATCCTTTTCTGAAAAACACATTGCATCTTTTTGATTGAACACACTATTTGGGGTTCACAGACTGGGCGGAGCCCGGCCAGCTGGGCGCTTGCAGCGGAAGAGACCGCATGAGGCTTCTGGCCGCCCCAGTGGCAACGCCCTGGCCGAGGCAACAAACGATGGAAGTCGGTTTGATTCATTTTGGTGCTCAACAATTGTAGTTCACTTCACAAAATGTGTGTTTGGCTTTTCTATACGTATGAACGAGGGCAGAAAATATTCACAGTACCTAGTGATTGATCTGCATCTACTGTGCTCGAACACAAACGGAGCTGATCCGAGCCCAGCGAGGCCAGGTTTTGCTCACCTTGGATCCTGAAGAGCCAGGCAGGCAGGGCTCTCCGCCCTGAGAGCCATCTGGTTGGAAGAATGATCCTGTTTGCTTGCTTACCCGGTGACTTCTAGGACCCCGAAACAGGATCCCTAACAGGATAGGTCTTGCCTGGACAGAAGTCTCGTTCCGGCCAGCGACCCATCAAAGCACACACACATAAAATAACAAAAGAAATCTATATGCTGCAGAGAGTGTGCACCATTGTCTTTCTATCTAAACATCTCCCAGAAAAAAATTGAAGACTTCCAAAACACCTCAGGTGGTTCCAAGTCTTGCCATGAGGCTGTGGCTCTCAAGACCAATTTTAAAACCAACTAGAAAGACAATAATGCTTCTCCAGCAACAACAACACACAACGTTTGAGGACATTGAAATCCCTCCAAGAAACGATAGACATCGGAATTCGATCGACTTCTTGGGCTTCCTGCCTTGGTGATCGCCTTTCCAGTTCCAGCCTGCGAGTCGGACCGGAGTACAACGCGGCGGTGCTGGATTCGAGGCGTTCGGAAGGAAGGCCGAAACTCCGAAGGCTCCGAAAACGAACAGAGTACTAGAGCCTTCCAATAACTATAGAGCTCCAAATAACTGCTATAGAAAAATTAAAGACAGAGGTCGTTATTAGTATAACTGCTAGAATCACAGAGTTTTAGAGCTCTATACTGTCATGAATAACTGCTAGGATAGATATGAGTTCTGCTCGTTGAGTCGAACAAAAGGGGCACCCTGAAGTCACGAAGTTTTGTCCCGAAGGCGTTTTTTCGGTTCTGGTCGCTCGTCTGAGAGAAGCAGAAGCTCCCTTCGTCTGGGTGTTGGATGTCTCAGCTGCACCAACAGTGGATGACGAAGCCTGACAGAGACCAAGAATTGCAAACAAAATTCATTGAGTTGGGGACACAACTTGACACCCCACGACCTATGGGCGAGTCAATTGTTTTTTGGCTTAAGGATGTCTAAGGAGTGGAGAAGGAGCTACAGTATGACCCCAGGATCCGGGACTTTGAGGTTCCAGCTTCACCAAGCCCTTTCTGCCCTGTTCCGCCCTGGCACCTCGAGATCTTCGCTGCTGCTAGGAACGGCCTTAGCAAGCGATCCGGGGCGAAGATGGATTCGGCATGCTTCGGCAACACCATGGAACCATCATGGACCCGGGAACCATCAGGAACCCCGATACCAGGTGTCGTGATAGTCTTTGATTGTGCGGGTGTCGTGATAGTTTTTGATTGTGCGCTTGTCAATCTTTGTTCCCGATAGCTTTGGCTTTTTATGGCCTTTTGCTGGCAAACAGGTTGGGCCTGGAAGGCATCACTTCTTCTGCAATCTGACACCTCACCACCTTCCGCATCGTTCGCCCAGGGGCCGTGTCCACACTCTGAAGCTCCACCTGCGCAGTCGGTGCCGACATCTGCGCAGTCGGTTCTCACGCTGTGAGGAACGACTCACGTTGCCGAAGCTGAAGCAAAGCTTGCTGTCGCTCACAGAGAAAAAACACCCTAAACTAAGTATATATAAATAGACCCATAAATATTAAATAGGCTACCAATGGCTACCATATACTTGAGCTCCACGTCGCACCCTCTTCATCCCTCTCATCGCCACACTCGTTCTTCCACCTCACCCGTCCCCCAGTTCGTCTCCCCGTCTCCCCCGAACCCATCGCCGCGGCTGGGCCCCTTTTCCGGGTCGGTCACGACCGGGCGTTCTTCACGCGGAACTCCAAGACGTCGCCGTCTTGGACCTGCCGGTCCGTTCGGCGGGCGTTCGGTGGCTGAATATGAGAGTAAAACGGTTTTGTTTGTATGAATGTGACACCGACTGTGACCAGGACCTGTGGTAATTTATGGTCATTTAGTTGGATGTAGCGGGGAAAGCGCTGGCTTGACAGTTTGGCCTTGTTTTCATTTGGAAGAGCGATTCAAAAAATCCCTGGAGCTCATCTATGGCCAGGTAATGCCAAGTACAGGAAAAGAACGCTTAGCGTATTTGGAGGTCTTGGGTCAAACATGCTCAACTACACCTCGCTCTTGCTTTGCGTGCAGTCGTTGACCAGTTGAAAAGGTGCAAATAGGTCCACTATATTATAAAATGTCCAGTCGTTTTTTGGCGGAAATTGTGGCTACGGCGCCAGTTCAATGTCGACCGGAAGGCTAGGGTTCGGGTTGACTCTAAGGTGTTTGCCAAAATTTAGGACCATCCGCCTCAAATTTGGTAGACCAAAGCATTTGAGGCTACACATACAAAAGGGAAGTCCGATGAAGACGTGAATCAAAACACCGTGTAGTTCCAATCTGTTGATGGACAAGGTAGTGTTCCAACATCAATAGTTATAACGAATTACTAGATTTTAAGTTATGGCCACCACTGGCTGCGAGCAAGGTGCCTGGTTTCTGGTCTCAAACCATCTCGTTAAGAAGAACACAGAAGGTGGTGGTCTAAGCTGGTCTAAGCTGCTCTCGTTAGATATCACAACCACCGCAAGCCACCAGCGCGCGCGTCCACCATCCCGCACGCCTCGTAGTCCTTTCCTTTCTGCTTCACAGCACCCGCCTTGCGACACCTCAGACAGTCCAAATACATCCCACGGGTTCCTGCAAGCTGAGTAATTGGGCGAAAACAAAACACCACCCAGGGTTGACCCCTCAAAATCGGTCAGGTCGCCCTTGAATTGGTTAAGAAGAGCGTAGAAGAGCCGTGTCAGCACTGACAGCGCTGGATCTTTGTCGCGAATCTGAGCTGAGTCCCAACGCGGCTTTGCTGCCATGCTTCACGAGGTCTTCATAGGTCCTAAGGGGTTGGGGAGAAAGGCACACTCGCCTTGCACACTGTGTACTTCACTGAGACTGTGAGATTTTCAACCAGCTGTGACTCTGACTCTGACAGCAAATACAAGTCAGAACATGTTGAACGTTTTTGCCTGTCAGCTATTGTATAATCACCATACCATCATGCCACATGCCTTGTAACTTGTAGTTTCGACATCTTTCAACATAGCATGCGTGTTGCCTTGTGCTGCCACAAAACGCCACTGGAAAACCACTTAACGAACATAACAGGAGTGTTTAAGTTACTTGGCTTTCTTCGCAGTCTGACGAATCCAAGCCAGAGTCGGCCATGGTGACCAGTCTCAAGGGCTTTCAAGTTCATAGAACTCTTCATGAAACAAAAACATGTTCTATTCTGTCTATTCTTTACTGTTATTTTTCTCATTCAATAGACTATTTCTTCAACCAACGATGGATTGCCACCAAATCGTCCGCTCAAAATCGTCCGGGCCCGTCCGGGTCTCCCCACCAGACTTCCGCTTGCTCGAAGTTCTTCGTGAAGTCTGAGTGTATGGCACCTGCAGCCTTGACCGGGCGGCGAACCGTGAGCAGCGCGCGCTCTGCAGCACGCAGCGGCGAGCTCTGCGCGGGGCCAAGCTGGTGGAGTCCGAGATGCATGTGTCTTTTTTGCACTGCGAAGTCTTTGATGTTGCTAATTCAACACAAAAGAAACATCAAGAGAATAATACCACGGACAATTCCCAGTCCGGGACGAATACACTCACACTGCTGCGAACTTGAGATCAACTCAGGAATGACAAGCTGCTTGGTAGAATATCTCTACCTCTGACTTTGTGGACCTGTTCAAAATATAGACAGAAACAGGCCAGGCAAACACAATGACAATGGCAAAAAAGCCTTCTTTGACCTTTCTCAAAGGAACAGCGAACTTGTCTCAATGGTGCTACAAAAACATGAGTTCATTCTTCTTAATTATGCGGCATCACCAGCATGATCCAAAGGTATTGAATCCCCACTTGCCAACTTGTACCCAATAGCACTAGGATACCGTATACCCCAACAATATCCAAATCGACACCAGTGTCGCACGCCTCATGCGCTTTGGAGCCCTTGGGTACGAACCAAGCTCGTGCCTGGCGCGATCGCTGACAGGCGCAAGGCTCGAGGCTTCCGCATGGGGGCTTGATGCTGCGCCTCCTGCTCTCCCACTGTCAAGTATGACACCAGCTTCAGCAAGCCTTGACTCTCCGCCTGAGTGCATTCCACCAAAAGGGCACCAAAATGGGCGAAGCATGGCGAAGCTGTGGTTGCAATGCATTTCATGATACATCCACCGTTTTGGCGCTCCGAAGAATTTGTTGATGCCGATGCTGGGACATGACAAGACATGACCCTCAATGCCACATGACCAAGTCCGTGTACTCAGGTGAAAAAGGCTACACAATCTCAGCAGGCAAAGACCAGGCTTGTGCGCCTAGGCTTTCAATGCCTCTGATTCTAGCCCCCTCCCCTTTTCTCAATACAAGGAAACTGAATTCAATTAACGGACACAACCCATGAGTACTCCCATAGGTTCAAAACCATCTCTAGTCACCCTCTACATAGTCCATCGTAGTACTACAAGGGTCTACTCGGTTCTGCTGCCTAAATGAAGGTGCTAAATTCCTGCAATCCCAAGAAGCTCCACATGGCACCTCTGCAGCTATCCAATCCGGTCTCCGATACGACGATTGATTCTTTCACCCCAAACAAATCCTAAATCTGTCAAATTAAATCACTTTCTCCCGCCAATACCATCCATGTATGGAAGCTCACCTACATTGACCCCGGAAAACAACCACCCCCACACCCAAATGATCCCAATGTATATAGGTGCACAGTCCGTCCCATGGATGGTCTGGGCCGAAAACCCAACTCTTTCACGATGGCGCTACCAGCAGTGTCCTCTTGTTCCTAGTAGTAAGGCCAGGAGCCCCTAGGCCCTAGTAGCGTCCTTGCTCCTAGTTGGAGACCATCGCTCTTAGCTTCCTTTTGCACAGGAAGTTCGCCCTCTGGGCTTCCCACCAGGACTCGGGTGAGCGCACGCGGGCCCTTGCAATCCAAGCCGTAGGATTCCAGATATTCAGTCCGAAACTCCTGGCAGAACCCGGCGCGGACGTGGAAAACGCGGACGCGGACGTGGTTGGGGCATCCGGTTGGGTCGAGGTTTCTTCGTTTGACACGTGCTTTGTGAAGAGTCACCCAAGTTTCCCACCTGCCGCTGGTGGATTTTCCCTTTGCAGATCAGGTACCAAGGGCGCAACGTTTGGGAACACCTTGGTGAGCGCATCTTTGATCAAGCCCTAGACTCTAGACTCTATTGGCTCTGGCGGTTGTGGCAAGTGCCCCTATCTGAGACACCCGAACACATCAAGCAGCCCCCCATTCCGATCCACAAACCAAAATTAGATTCCTTTCGGAAATAACAAAAAAGCAGTCAGTCGAGGCTGGAAGTCTTTTGATTCTTTGATGAAGGTTGCGGCCCTTGAGAAGCAACAGACTGACCGAGTCTGGTTTGCGTATGTGAACAATCATAACGTTGATAAACTTTGGCTCAGACTGGAAAGTTGTAGATCACACAAGACCCTGAAAGTTGTGGATCCACTCACAACGGAGAAGGACCTTGTGGTGATTTTTCAACTAAATTGTGCAAGGAATTTGTCAATCACTCTCCCAGAACTTCAATATTTTGACTCATGAACTACCTCGCCTGGGGCCTAGGGAGTCATAATCCACGACCTTTTTCGTAGGGGTAAAATGAGTCGAACTTGGACTCTCAGGATCTCCATGGATCTCGGTGAGTCCTCCTCTTCCAGGTGCGTCATCTCCGGTGACGTCCCCCTCCTCATCGTCCAAGGCACTCACCTCTGCCTCCAGCTGCGCCGAAACCTGGGGCACCCAGTTGGTAGCGGCTCAGGCGGAGGCAGCTGGTACCGTAGGAGGTGTGGTTGGATGGATACTCAAAAAACCAAGCAATCGGACCTCTATCCTACAATCCTGCGGCATCCCGGCGACTGAAGCCATCGGAGCCTCTTCGGCATCAAGTGAACGAGTCACCGAGTCTTCGGCACAGGAGAGTCACCAGACCTGGAGTTCTATTAGATAGTGGTCCTGGGACTGGCAGGGAAGAGTGCTCTTGGTTTGCTTCATCTTGGAACCAAACTGGTGACCTAACTACTAAGTTGTCCGGGGAATTTACCATCATTTATCCTGATGCACTTTCGAGTCTATGCAAATAAACATCACCCTGGAAGACAAGAGCTAGTGCTAGTACTTAAGGTCCCAGTCTTTCCATTCTGACGCGCGCCTGTTCTCTCCGCCAGGGGCACTAAGGTCCTGGGCCACCATAAACCGTGTCTGGCTAGTGGCCTGGCGTTGTGGGTCACCGTGCATTTTCCGCATATCTATGACAGCGGAATGAAGAACCCAGCACACAATGACCCCTTGGAGGCACTGAGCCATCATATGATTGAAACTTGCATACTTAAACCAACATTGTATCTTCTTGAGGTGAGCGGTCATATCCCCACCCAATGGAACCACGCACTGCTCCGTCATCAACTCAATAAACCGCATATAAAAACATCACTTAATGGATCTAATTTACTTGTCAGCTTAATTGCAGGTACTTGTCAGTCCAATAGAGGGCCCAGGAAAAAACCTCATGATTGGAATCGGAAAAGAACACCGCTCGGTCCAGCTTCCCACCCTGTTCACTCACGGCTCCAAGCCCCAGACCATCCACAGAACTGGAAAAACAGATATGCCGCCCCAGAAAGACCCCTTTACAATCAACCGCCCCAGGCCTGATGGGTCATAAACCAGTTCCATCTCTCTACTCCGACTTTATGATGTTTTTGTAATTGGACTACCACCTACATGGGGAGGCCAGCTGAACCGAAAGCGACGGAGGTCTAGGTGCATCCGAGCGCATCTGAGTGCCTCCGCAGACACCCGTTCGGCGAGGCCTTGGGGCTGGGAGCGGAGCGGATCGAGGTGGCCCAGCCGGAGACGTGGCTCTTCCCTGCAAGGGATCCGCTCTTGGTGGAGAAACATCGCCCAAAAAAAGAAAGCAAAACTGATCCCCACCATGACATTTCAATCATTTGTCTTCATGCCATGGTGAGGAGCATCTTGCCATGGTTGTGAGTTTTGTGGTTCTCGACTTTGTTTGTACGTCCTCGGGTTGTGTGCTATGATCGTAGTTGTGTGTTGTGGTTGTGTGCTGCAAATGTGTCTTTTTGGTTGCGTGTTGTGGCTGTGTGTTGTGGTTGTGTTTGTGGCTGTGTGTTTGTGATTGTGTTTGTGTGTTTGTGATTGTGTTTGTGGTTGTGTTTGTGATTGTGTGGTTGTGGTTGTGTGCTGGTTGAGGTCCAGCGGAACGCTGCCAGCCGAAGCTAGCGGTTGAGGTCCGGCGGGGAACACTGCCATCTGGAGCTGGCGGTTGAGGAGGAGGAGGAGGAAGGCAGCTGACATATAGTCTAACAACCCTCACCTGACAGGTAAGGAAAAGCATGGAATTGAATAAACATGGATAATAGGACCAAGCAATCACAGGTGACCAGTGTGACGAAGTGAAGGATGAATACCATATAATGCCATGAATCTTAATACTGAATGTGACCTGGAGTGCTTGGCCTCCCCATTTTCCCAAGACATGGGGCACTAGGCAAATATGGCAACTCATGTTGCTTCCCTGGTCTCTCAATTGGAGTGATGTGATGTCTCAAAGCAACTCTTCCGAAACACTCTGCTCTCAACACAAAGCTGAGCATCAGTGCGGACTGAGAACTCATTGCCATTGGCTGCGTCCTCAGCGCCGGAGGCTAAGGGTAGATCCGGCTGGTTCCTACTTCGTGAGGGACTGTGGACATGAGTTCATATCTCCTAGTCCGAACGAAAGATCATTGGTCGAGATCTGAGTCTGAGATAGTCTGAGCATGTCTGCTCACAACGTCTGACTCTGCTCAAATCATCCAGCTCCCCAACAAAACATGGACCAGGGACTGGTCCAGCACGGAAGTTCCATCACCAAAGGTCTGTTCCATCCTCCTGAACCCCTCAGTTTTCTCTTTCCACCTCATTGAGGGCTGCTCCCCAACAAAGGTGACCTGCAGCTGCTTCACACACCCTTCCGGTGTCGACCCGCTCATGTCTTCACCGTTTTCGGTGGAGCCAAAACGGGGCGAACGAGTCGCGCCTCGGCCGCCACGTTGGCGAGCACCACCTGGCGAGCACCACCGCCACGTTTTGGGTTGGAAGTCCGGAAGATGCAGAATCCAAGCAGCTTAATATACCCTGGACCATCCAATGGATGTAAATGGAGTAGTCGATTGGTGCCCCCTTGGATGGGTCCTGGACTGGATCCTGGGTTTCAGGAAATATCCTGTCAAAGTCCCAAATACCAGCCCTGTAAATGAATGATTCTCCTGGAGTGCAACATGTCTCTGATCATCCAACAAACCTGGCATGTCTGGATCCAATGTCTGAACAGTTGTATGATCGGAATATCAATATTTGGGGCTGAGTCAATATACCAAGAGCTTCTGATAATATGTAGTCTATATTCTCGCCCCGGATCCCAAACAAACACGAGAAGCTGTCTGCAGGGTTGTTCTTGCAACACTTCCTGCGACCACTGAAGCCACGCTCCCTGGAATCATCCTCTCGAGGCCAGGCCATCCACGTAACCATGATGACTCCAGGGAGTGTGTCTCTGGTCCTCCTATCTCACATAAAATAATTGGAGAAGCATATGTATGAAACTGAGGAATTCATCCTTTGACCCATCAATCGCATGTATTTTGCAATGTATTTCAGCCAGACCTTGACGTTCAAAGCTCACCGCTCCTGCCGTTGATTTTGAGGTGTTTGTTGGTTGCAAAACTGCCTGGGGTGGTCGTCACCTCACGTGAAGAATTCGCTTGCACCGCCCCGAGCCAATTGAGACTACGAAACGAACTAAAGGCTGGCACCACACTGCGGCAGCCCCTGGATGTCGCAAGTGGCCAGGCAAACCACCGGTTTGGCAGTGATCAATTGAGTGAAGAACTCATCGGAGGAGGGCCTGGGCAGCTGAGAGGGCTTTGGATTGGCACCACCATCGAAAATACATATTATATATTGCACAAAAATAGATATCCTCACATATCATCACGTAATCATGCGGAACATGCCCAGGCCAAGGCATCGACAACTAGTGGAAAGAAGTTGCAGAACATTCATTTACACTGGAGAGGTCACTATTATACAAAGAAAACTCACCAAGCAGTCCGAAGTATGGTGTGGGCACCCCGACACCTCCTCCGGCAGTGCCTGGGAGACATGGTGTGGCACGGTGGGTCAGTGAAGGATCACGGATAGATGGAGATACTGTAGATACTGTAGATGGATCGGAGGAGAGTCCAGGAGGTACAAATGGGTTTGAAGATTGAGTGGTTCAAGTTCAGAGCAAACATGTGCAATTAGCAACATAAGAGCACAGTACAACACTACGTAGGCTGGAGAGACCCGTCTCCGCATGGGAACTGCTTTTTGAGAAAAAGACTTGTCTCGACGTTGGATGCATTGGTGCTTGGAGTTCCAGCAAATCATGGTGCAAAAGACGGAGATTGGGACGTTCTATGAAAATTATCTTAAGGGTCAACCCAAACAGGAATCGCACCAAACAAGGATTGGGGGGACCTTCTTCAACCGTCTGTAAGAATCACGGAAACCCAAAAAAGAACACATCCACTGCACAGCTGCCAACTGTTCAGTCCAGGTGACGTGACGTGCAGCAGCACCAGCCTGTAGCATGCAAGACCGAGAGAGCAAGGCTGAGAGGGCATGAATTGGAAAAGTCTTCAGTTGAGCAAACTTCAGGAAACTGGACTCTTTCTTTTAGTGGCACCCTGACAACTCACACCCCTCGGGTCACGACTGGGAAATTCACCAAGAAATGTAGCAATCGCCAGACTGCATCACAGTTCTTGGCAGTTTCTTGGAGTTTCGATGGCCTCCGCCTCGAGCACCTCTCTCAACTTCGCTTCCAATTCTTGAGGTGCATGGTTGCGTTTATACAGATGCCATACTTCCCCGTTTCTGAACTGCAGGGATTGGATGGTATGAAGCTGCTCCACTCCCCTGAAATCATGGTTTTGTGGCCCCGAGTTCGGATGACCATTTTCTGGTAGAATCCAGTGGTCTTCCGCTTCCCATGATGATCTTATAAGGGAATGTAACGACTGGCTCCATGTTGCCTCGCGAGGTCTGGAAATCTGGACGTACTGCGCCACCTCCCGACCCAAATTGCTGGATGCAAAGCAAAGATCTGTAGCAAACCCTTTCGCCCAAACACGGATCTTGAAGACTTGATGAACTCTTTCGAGTGTTCTTCGCGTCTGGCCTTCGCTCGTCCGAACCCTCCGAGTCCGTAGGCCGCCGAAGCACCAGCGCCGTGGTCTCCGGCAAGAACGGCCCGCCTCGAGGCGTTGCAAGACCGCCTCGTAGCTCGGCAGCATCTTGGCCTTGGCAACGTAGCTCAGGTGACCCAAACTTCCATTCGCATGGAAATAGTAACCAAAAGTGCCTCAAATCTGTCTTTTTACAATTCCCCGTACGTTCTCAGTACAGTAGGGATCCATATATACCGTTCATGGCTGGTGAACCCGGAAGCCGATTGACAGACCATGAAAAAGCGACATCTCTTTCCTTAAGGAAGGTTTGGCTGCCACACTTCACACTGCGTGATGGCGGTGTTGTGCTGAAGAACAACTTTGCAGCAATATGCAATGTGCAGTATTGTCGATCGTCTTTGATTCCCTCCAGTTCCACTGCAAATTGGTGGCAACAGTATCCATGGTGGACGTCACACAAATACTCACAAAGCACAGCACGGGTTGCATCGTTCTCCGAGCTTGTATGAAATCCTGCATGCATTCTGTGCTCAAGCTGTTTCTACGGAAACTGCTTGGAACCTGCTGATGTTTGCTGCGTAGAGACCGTCTTTAGACCGTCTTGGAGACGAGCGGTGGCACAACTTCAAGTCATTATCCGTCTCGGTTTTGACCCCGACATCGTTTGGCCGAGTCTGGCACGTCAAATGTCTGTTGACATGGCCCACTCACGCCCCGTCGGCAGGCCGTGTTCTCAGCCAAACTCTGCCGACTTATTTTAGCGTCAACAAAAACGAGGCTTTCTTCCGCACGCTGAGCAGCACAAGTAGAAAGGTCAATTTCAAGCACTGCAAGCAGTCAGGCGTTCAAGCACTGAAAAAGATTGTTTTCAGACTGCTCCAAGCACAGCTGTTCAATAACAACGTTCTTTCAAGCATGGCATGTCAATCATTAATATCGGCCGCCCAACACTTTTCAACAAACAAAATCCAAATCACGGCGACGGAAAACCCCTTGAAGAATCAAACCAAAGGGTCATGATCCGGGAACCCAATCCTGCTGCCCTAGACAAGTAGTCTTGGTATGTCTGGAATGAAACCTGCACGGGTTAATATATCAAGGTTATATGAACTCAAGTAGTCGTGGTTATATGAACCCAAGTATATAGTCTTAGATGCGAAGCAACAGCCGAAGTAAAAAAACAGACAAACACGTTAAGAATTGTTAAGAACCACATATGCCCAGCGCCCTTAAAGCGCTGATCGTACAGCTTCAGCTGTGCTTTTGCTGCATGAGGTGTTGCCGCCGAAACGAGAGAACTTGGCCAGCCGACAGTGGCGCTCTGCCCGATGGATTCATCTGCACTCGAAAGGCGAAAGGCGTTCTTCTTTAAGAGTGTCATCCGCACCATCACATTCCATCACATTCTTGTTTCAAATATGTTCCACACAGCCATCCAGTTGCATCCTTCGTTGGTTTCGGATCACATATGATGCACCATATTGCACTATACTCACTACTACTTCTCTATATATATCTGCTTGAGAGCCAACCATCGTCCAGCGCCCCAAGACCAACCGCTTCGCCGCGTCCGGGTTTCCCCGACCACCTCCGAGCTCGTGGTTGCCTGGCTCTGCTGGAGTGAACTCGTCATCTTTGAAGGTTTTTGAGAACCATCGTGAGGACCAGGACCACAGCCGCCTAGGCACCTTCAGATTCACAGCATTTTTTCTTGTGAGGAGCTTTCAAGGGAATTTGGGAAATCGATCACTCTTGAGTCCAAACCTCGTTTTTACCACCTGCTTTTACATGTTTTTGCGCACTGCACCCATCGGATCTTCCCCACTTCGCACGGCGGTCTGGCTTCAGTCAACGGTTCCTCTGGCCTTCTTCCGCAGCGCGGGTAAACGCTTGGAGGCATACCTCCGGCTCGCTTGGCGTTCGGATTGGTATGTATAAGGATTGTGAGGAAAACGTGACCGAGAATAGGGGCAATAACTGGGACATTCAACACGATGCAACACCTCAAATTGTGCCCGTTCAGAATACATGCAATGGATTGAGGACAAACATCTGCCACTTTTGAGGATATGATTATACATGATTTAATATGAAAGGATATATCAAGGTGACTTCTGGCGCCTTTTGGAGCTTGATAGAGCCTTGCAATCATTTGCTGTAGCATCTAAAAAGCATTTGCTATAGGGGTGCTGGTTCCTACATCTTCCTAGAAACTGAACATATAATCCAATTTTGAATGGACATCCATCCGTCCATCCATTTGCCGTGTTAGAGTCTATCGACTTGCATTTCTCATCATTTCTCCAAGCCCTTCACCCTTGATCGAAGCGGATCCCCCCAAACATCCAGCTTCTTCTCACAGAAAGGCGACGGAAAAGCAACAAAAACACATTCTGCTTGGAATTCCTGGAACTGCTACCGCTGATGCTTCTATTTCAATCCTTTCTTGGATCTCCAAGGGGGTCTCTACCCCTTCGCTGGAACTCCAAGCGACTCTAAGTCGGCGATGATCAGCTCCTCCAGGATGGATTCGTACCTCCGGATCACTGTGGACGTGGGGGGTGTGCGCAAGAGCCCCGTTCGTGCGCCAGACTGGAATCCACTCCCGGAAGATCCAAAAAACGTTTAGCTTGGCACATCTTTCCCATGTTGAGCAAAATTAAGGTTGATAAAAAGCTACCCTAGGCTCCAACAATAGAAACAGAAAACCAAGATAGCACGCCCTTGGTAGAGGAAAACTAAGGAAAATCGTCTTCCAACGGGCTTATCAGGACCTATCAGAACATGTCCATCCCTCACCCAGGGTGGATCATGACGATTACCAGTACTGTAATTAGATATAGTCTAATTTCCCAAACTTGTGAGAAAACGTACTAAAGCAACTGATTCTCAGACATAGACAATTCAATAGGAACTGACTCTCAGTGGATGGTCCCAAAGTGTTCAATGGAATTGACCCAAAATGACCCAAACCACCCCCGATCTCTCCGTGATTCCCTCTGTCCAAAGAAGGGGGAATTGTTGATGCCACCGGTGTCGTTCCGGAAGAAACGAGAAACAGCTGATCACTTTCACATCCCTCCGAGCCAGTTGATGTTTGGGCCTTCCCTGATGTTCAAATTCGAGAATTACATTCCTGCTCTGATGCTGCTTCAAGCGCTGAAGGTGGTGAACATGTCGACATGAACTGGCCTCAGTATTTCTTGGAGAGTCACAATTTGAGGGAACAGCCGGTGACTGGTGAAATTGAGAATGTTACAAAAGGATACAAAAGGTATATCAAAAGGGTCATTAAAGGAATCTGTGGATTGTCCTTCCAATGATTTATTTTATTCCACGGGAATGACACTCCACCACTATCACTACCAATGAGTAAAGTGGAGTCATTTGGACTCTCAGGGCGTGGGTTGTCCTCCAATTCTTCGGAATTTTAGAAGCGATCTCCCCCCAACTGGGCACTCCTTGACCGGATCGATGTTCACGGGATCCTGTGAACGAACGGCTCGAAGTGTGGAGCTGTGACAGCTGCAACCAAATGACAAAAACCCACGGGTTTCAAGCAACTTCCGACCTCTTGGGGATGTGGCTTCGTCTTCCGGTGTGGCGTTGGGCATCACCGACCCCCGCCCAAAAACGGCCACGGTGAGTGGCGCGCCTCGACATGAACAATCTTCTGATCGCTGAAGCAGCGAACCACGTGGAAGACGACCTGGTCTTTTTGGTTCAGACTGGGTCAAACGGGGTCAAACTGGGTCAGACTTCAGATCTGGTTTGTTTTGCAAAGTTTGGACACTATTCAGGCGCATGACATTCATGCATGCATATATCATATATATATACTAACTAAGAGTTCAGTTCTTATTCAAGTCTCTTATTCTTGCTTCTCATACTTTGCATATCGATTCAAGCACCGAGCGTTCACCCCCCGGATCTGGCTCAGGAAGGCATTCCCCATGCCGGCACCGCTGCTGGCGCCCTGGCGTCTCACTTTTGAGGCCATGCATGCCATGCACGCGAGGTGTTTGCACGTTGGACGCCAGTTTTCCCAGCTGGGGCCCACAAGGAGCGATATGGGTGCGTGCTTTGTTTCGTCTATTTCCCTTCTGAGACTCCCTATTCTGCACACACTGTCCGGCAGCGGTTGGGAACGATTGATGCCACCTTGATGAGTCCAGCGATATCACGGATTTCCAGCTGCCCGGGGACCTCGGGCACTGGACGGATTTGCGCTGCAAAGCGGCTCAACTTGAGCTCTGAGTGGTGGTGTATAGATGGTCTTTTTCTTGCAAGGTCCCACAATCTGGAATTTGAGTGACCTCGAGTTTGGACCACCAACCACCTAAAAAATAGTTTTTTTTTCTCGATGAAAACAGGGATCAATAGACTTCTAGATCTCTCCGGATCTCTAGGCATTTGACCTCTACATCTCTAAATCTCAATACGTGTTCATCTTTGGCCCTCTGCTTCTACACCTCTAGTTTGACCTCTAGACCTCAAGGACACCACTGTTCAGGGTGTCTTGCCGAGATATCTTTATCCTTTTGACTGGCTACATCTGGTCGAAGTACCTGACCAATAGGGGGTTACCTGGGCTTGGAGTGCATGTCTGCATCGTCTCAGAGGCGGAACCAAGACCAAGCCATTTGAGCGTCCAAATAAGATGTGGCACGAAGGAAAGCTGCAAAAGGGAAACCGATTCCATAAAAGGCTTAAAGGTTCTCCGCTGACTGGGTAGGTACCCGACTCTTTCAAAAGCATCTGCTGACCCGCCCCACTTCTCCAAGAGGCAGTTCTTTGCGAGGAACAAAGCTCCGCCAAGCGTGCCAAGCGATCGTCGGGCACACCCACCTGGCTGTGGATTGCGCCCGGAGAAATGGGAAATTCAGACCATGTGGACACCGAAGTTTGGCAAAATATCACTAACAAGAAGCTACTAGGGGCTCCTGGCCTTACTACTCACGAGCAAGGACGCTACTAGGGGCTCCTGGCATCGCTACTAGGAGCATTCTTACTATTAGTAACAAGAAGCTACTGAGCTACTGTTGTTCAACTCATTTTGACCGATTGAAACCACTGTCTCTTGCCCAAGCTGGCTGTGAGTGAAGAGTTTGACCTGCCGATCGTTTTAGAGATGGTGCGAAGCATGAAATGGATTTGCCTTTGTCTGCAAATTTAGCGCAACGCATTTAGGAGTGAATGCTCGGGATGATAGTGACGATAAGGATCAAACAAAAACAACAATTAAACCCTCATCCACCAACCAGTGAACGGCAAAGAACCCCAAAGGAGACCACTGCAGCATGCACCTGGTTGGAGGAGAATCCTCAAACTGAGGACCGCTGCAGCATCCTAGGTTCTACACGGTTCTCAACAGCTCATTGCATGTTGGAACTGTCCGTACGTTGCACCGTGCCAACTCCGCCGACCTCGTTTTTCGACAGATCTCCCCACAAAAAACTGCCGCAAAGGTCTCGCACCCACATGGCAAGGAAGGGCCAAGGAATGGCAAAGGCGATCTTGCCAACTCTTGTGGAACTCCTTGTGGAACCACCTCCTCACCATCGGTCCGAACTGGAGTGCCCCCCTGTTCCATTCGACGCAGCAGAAGGCGTCGAACCTTCACCACATTGGGCTCCACCGTGCAGAAGGGAAAGTTCTCCGCCGCTGCCAGGGTAGAGCCTGATTGAAAAAGGCAACAGCTGTTGACTTGAAGAAACAGGAGGGAGGTGAAGATCCGCCAAATGTTTGTGGTGAAACTTGCCTAAGCTGTGAACTTGTTGTGCACATGAAGTAGTGAATCGAATCATCCAAGGCCATTCTGGCACAGAATAGTCCATGATGAACAAACATACTTCAATGTATGATAAATATATATATATATGTATATAACATACACACACCATCCTTCTTGATGCCTGATTTACATGTGCAACAGAACTGACTCCTGACACAGTGGTGTTGGGAAACCTGCAGCAAAGCCTATTTAAAACAACACGCCGCCCTCCTGGCACAAATATTGCAAATTGAGCCAGGAAGTTCGACCGGGGTATACGCAAAACAACCGTAGACAGTTCCATGATTCCGTCGATTGGAATTGCCTGAAAAGAGATCAAAATAACTAACTATATAACTGGACTTGGTAAGGCTCTTGATCGACGGTTTTGTTGGGGAGACTCGTTTGGCCTCTCAACATGGTTGGATCAGGTCACCTGGTCCCTATCACTCATAAAAGCCCAGGAGAAAAGGAAGTCATTCCAGCATAGACCCCGAACACTACCCCAAACACTTTCAGCATGATTTTTCAGTACGCCATCTTTTGTGTTGCCTTTTGCTCTCCCTCTTGCCGCCCCTATCGTTGGGCCTGGCTTGGTGTACTATAGTGAACTGTTTGGGGATCAAACACCCACCGCTCCTGCGAAGGCATTGAAGAGCGAGGACTTCCCCACATTAGGATAGCCCACCTCGGTCGCTGACAAGCTGGGCCTGTCCCGATGAACGCCATTGTAAAACACCCCACACTACACACAAACACACACAGCACAGCACACACATCTTGTTATCAACAAAAGACAAGCCTCATGTGTGCTTTTGGAAGGCCGCCGTAGGAAAAATCCTGACAATGCGAAACTCTCTAGAGTTGATGTTGACCAATTGGGGACTGGCTGGCTGGTGAAGGTCTGCGTGTCTAAAGAGAATATATCGCCAGTGGGGTCACAAGAACATGTTCACATTCAAAACTCACAACCATCCATTTGCATAAATACCTCCTAACTACAGGTATGCAGGTATGCACAACACGTTTCTTGATGCTCCTGGACACATCTGGACTCAAAAACACCAGCTGAGCAGCTGGGACCCATTGGACAGGACTGGATGGGTGTCATCATCCGGTTCAAGAAACCAAAGAAACGTGATTTCAAGCAGTTTGTGCTGTTCGCCTATGCCCACATGGTCCATGTTTGCTGGCTCCTGCAGGCTAACATATTTCCAGAGCGCACTTGACAATGAGATCCGGGATTCGAGATTCCAGATCCGAGATTCGAGAGAGGAGATCTGAGATCCGTGCATTCCCAACATCCATGGTCAAATTCGATCGCAAGATATTTCATGGCTTCATTTTAGAGTTTTTGCCCATCCAACCCATCAACTCCATGGAACCTACAAGAACACACATACACATCAACATATGACACAACACTCGCAGTATGCCACCCGGCTTGCTACTTAGCAGCAAATCCTGCACTTTGCTTGATCTTGGGGCCCAACCAAACCGCAGGCGCGATTCAAACCTGCGAGTTCGTTGGCCAAACCACCGGTCTTTCAAAAGGGTCTAAAGTTGCTGCGTCAATTTCACCCCGAAACCAATTCAAATTTTGGGATATGAATTTATCTTAAACATATTGAAACAAACCCACAAATCAATTCTGCTGTCCACACACGTCGGCATATATGGCTTGTTTTTCTTTTATGGCCCTTTTACATTTTGCCTGTTTACATCCCCAGCCTGGACCTTGCGCAACCGAGCATCGGTGAGATTTCAAGTCCACAACACGGTCATTCCTGCCACTGTTTGGTTAGGTTTGATTTTGGAACCATTGGTAGTTTGGACACGTTGCTTGCAAATTTGGTTTTGAGTGCCTTCCTGCCCTAATTTCATGTGAATACTATTTTGCGAGCCACACTTGCGTACCTTCTTCACATGCCGTGTTGGGACAATGAGTAAGGTTGATCCATAATTACAGCGCTCCAGAATTCCTGAAGCCCGTGCACAAACCAAAATAATCTGAACCTGATTCAGATTTATTCCTTTTTGTCCCCAGTCTGCCCCCAACAAAACGTTTATGCTACTCAACTGGCTGGCAACAACCACAAACCAAGTTGTTCAACCCGAGGACCTCTAATGGATCCTTTGGACCTGCGATGGGGGATGGATCTGATGCGCGGAGAGATATGTTCACCAGGCTCGGTGCCTTCAATATCTTCCACCGCGACCATGGATGACTCAAAAAGTTGGAACATGTTTCAGTCCTATTGGGGGGTGTTGGTGGAGATGTGAAGGTTTGACTGTGACTGTGATGTTTCAAGGTGAATTTGACCATTTCACTCGTCAACTGAATCCAACTGAGGTGAAGCAGGGTGCATGACTAGCTCTGCGGCTGGGCCAGTGCCTGGGCCTCTGCCTCGACCCACCGGCTGGGCACTGTGGCACTTCCAGTTCGGGGCATCTGGACGGTGCACCGCAGTGTAGCTTCCCACGGAATCTGGCAATTTGCTGCTTTTCTACTTTGCTTTTTGGACCATTATTCCACTGCCTTCTCTAAAGGTTGGGAGCTGCGTTTTCACTTGTTGGTGTGCAAGTACGGCGTTACTTAGGTGTGCTGCCCCTGTATTCACAGGCTATGTTTTTAATTTCATTGAGGCTTGGCAGCTGACTGCCTACAACCTCCTAGTTACCCAAACCTCCACACAATCGAACACCAAGACACATCCTGCCTCTCACTTGACCTAGCCACGGCCACTGCCTTAGTGCCAGTCCGCGCAGTTGGCACTTGCACATTGTTCTTTTACATCGTGTGATGGCTGGGTGAATAATGCTAAGCCGCTAGCTGCCAGGCAAGCAAAACGCAAGTTGCAATCTGATACTCCACACAACTTGTCTGCATGGCCCTTCATGCATCGTTGAAATGCTCGATCATCTTCCTCCTATGTTTTTCCCAGAAGACCACAGCTATCCGCAGCTACTAGAACCCGTGCTACAAGTTGCTAGCTGCTTGCAGTAAATGATAGCTTTAGGAAGTTCGGGGAAAAAGTTTTGTGTTAGGCAACGGTAGCAACCCTTCTCCAACGATTGAAGGTACTAGGATAAACACAATCCAATATATAATAGTTCCCGAAATGAACGGGACTATACTCCTCCTATACATCCGCCTACATTGAGCCCGTTTAACCAAAGCTGCACAAAGTAAACCATCCAACCACTGCCCATAGAGTCGGAGTGTGTCTTGGCAAAGATGATGTTAATATGCTAGCTAGTTGTCCTTGTTACTACTAGGAGCAAGAACGCTACTAGGGGCTCCTGGCCTTACTACTAGGAGCAATGTTCGCTACTAGGAGCAAAGGGCATCGCTACTAGGAGCAAGGACGCTACTAGTTGTCCTTGTTACAGCCTCCAAACTAAACTCTCCCTTCTCAGCCAAGCCCCATCTTTTCGCACCCGGGCGGCCGGGCGTGACCCTTCGAATGGCCTGAGCTCGCATCCCGTCCGGGCCACCGGAAGGTTGGCAACAGGAGGTTACGTGGATGGCATGGACCCCAAGTTCGGATGACCATTTTCTGTATACCTTGGGTCGGTGCATGTCTATCCTATTGCCTGTAACAGTGGATGATGAATGATGATGGTTAGTAAAGGCCTTTCTCTATAAAAATAGTGGTAAGTTTTTTGCTGACTGTTACAAGCAATAGGACAGACCCAACATATACCAAACAGGTGGGTTCTACTTGGGAACCGCCGCCAGGCATGTTCCAGCATGCCATGTTCCAGCCTGTGAATGGGATACCATAGGCACAATAGGAAAGTTACAGGATGTGATGAGATAACTACCTATAGCATCCAGCAAAGCTGGAGGATGTAGCCAAGGGATGCCAAGTGAATGATGGCCCAGGACAGAATTGTTTGGGCTCGGTTCAGAAAAACCACATGGCAGTCGTCCATGGGTGGTTAGTAACCAGGCTCAGGAGGAAGGCCGGAACTATTTCTAGAGGTTGATCTCATCCTGTTGTCTGCTTTTGCATCGCCTTTTTGCGCACCAGACCTAGAGGATTCTTTTGAAGTCGTCGGCGGTCTTTAAGCCAAAGCCTTTGGCAGGATCTTGCATCATTCGACACCAAAGCCACAAGATGGTGTTGGTCCAGTTTATCACACTCACAAACTTTTGTGGAAACTGCAATATCGGCTTCTTTGAAGTGCTCCAACTGATCTGTAGGCTCGCAGAGTGGGTTTTAAGTCCACCTCAACTACAGCATCTGTTCACAAGTCCATCATAGCAAGATGTCCTCGGCTAGCAGTCTTGAACTGAATCACTTTCTATAGGTTTGCAGCAAACTAAGGGCACCGCTTGCACTCCAAGTATTTTCCAACCGCAAAAAAAGATGGAGAGAACATTGGGAAGATCTTGGTTGATGCATTCGAACACATTCTCATACAAAAAATGTCATGCCCCAAACATCCCAGAGTCCCTGGCACAAGGTTTGACGGGACTCAACATCTAGTGGATGCCAAGTAATCCGATTTGTTTTGCCACCTGGAACCTGACTGACCTTTGGACCACCAGCCACCCAAACTATGCATTTGTTCCTATCCAAACAATGGTCTAATGATGGGTTGTAGATGGTTGTAGTACTTATAGTTGTCAGTCCCAAGGTTGGCAAGGCTAAGCATGAACCTATGGCCAGAAAACATGGACCAACACTCAGAAGCAAGGCCTAAAGGTCTTTCTACAACATCATGAATCAACATCACATCAACATGATTGCTACCAGGATGGAGGCCATCGCTACTAGGTTAGGTTGAAAATCACATCAGCATGATTGCTACCAACTTTCCATCTCCAGATCAAGCTCTGCTTGGATCCCGCGCATTGGAGCCAGTTCGGAGGGGCTCGATCAACATGACTCGCCGGGTTTGGCGTTGCAATGGGAACCACGTTTTGTCCCGAACCACGTCACCGATGGGGTTCTGCTCACCTAGAAGCTTCTGCGGGTTCGGCGGTAGAGAAGCAAATCTAAGCTTATCGTCTATTTACATAAAGCTGTAGGCCATAGAAACTGTGACTTTCAAAGGACCACTCTTTGCATCCTTAGGTCTACAGCATGACATATATGCGGTCTTCTGGTCTCAAGTTACAGGGGAGCGACCCCCACTGGCCAACTGTATATGGTGGTTGCCGTCATCAACTCCTGGTTTCTTAGATCAGCTTACGATGCAACGGCTATGCTCGACTAGCGATGTCAACTCGGTGCGATGTAGTGTCTCGGTCTCTATTTCATTGTTGTGAGAAGTTTGAATGAGAAAGGTCCGAGTTACATAATTATGTGATATGTCTCGCACTGCGCGCACTTGGTGTTACGAGTGAATGAGTGCTGAACAACGAGGAATGCGTGCGCTTTCCAGAGTGCCGTCCGGTGCGTCGATGGACGGTCGCCGTGCTGGTGACCGACCCTGAGGACCCTTATAGGGCACTCCAGGGTGGTCACTTGCGCAGGCTGGCACTGGGAAACAGCAAAGGCTTCCGAAATGGCGGAGGGTGATAGAGTGTCGCGCAGCTTCATTCAAAATAAGAGGATGGACAACTGCAAAGCGCATTGTCCGGGCTGCGGAAACCAGAATAACGAAGTGTGGAGACTTCATGAGAAACAATGCTCAAGCAACAATACATCTCCACATTAAAACAAAACAAAACAACCATAAACATATACACTTAGACTCAAAGTTCCGGTGAGGGAACATAATGTCCAGTGGAACTCAGTTACGCAGCTTCCTTGACTGTGTAGTTAGTGCAAAAGGAAACGTGAAGGATCGGCGCATTTAAAGATGATTGAACATCAGCTGCAACAACAAGCGACGCGGCGGCTGCATTAGACCTTTGCGGGAGAGTGGAGTGAACATCCTGGGCAGAAGTTGAAAACCGCAGCAGGTACAGGAAACTTGAGAGAGGAGGGTGAACGAAAGGTAGCAGGCAATCACAAGTAACCCTGGTAGAAGTCCACGACGGCGTGAACCGGCGCAGGGGGGATTTGATCCAGGGGGGGGGGGGCTTCCCACTCTTATCCACAGCTTCGTTGCGTGTGATAGGACGGGGTGTGACACATATACACACACACACACTTTTCACCACATCACAAATTACACTCTTCACAGCAATACATGTTACCAAATAAGTTATCACGACACTACACTTCACCACATCAAACATCCTTACGCAACCTTTCATCATCAGAAGTCATCGCTCCTCTTCACCACCCAAAAGACATTTTATTGTAATAGATTGTGGTATACATTTAAAATATGAGTACTTTAATAGGGACACCCAACCAACGGGTTTTGGCCTATGCTTCTTCCGTGGAGTCTTTAGGAGGTCTCCCTATTTCACTATACACAGATTCGCTCTGAAACCCAACGGCCTTGCCGAGATCGGTATGATATCTCGGTCGATAGAACCAAATCCAAAGAACCACAAGAACAAATGCAGTTGGACATAAAATCGAACAACATCTTGCTTCTGAGTCAGCGAAGGCATTTTCATGGCATTCTCTCACTTGTTCGATCACTTTCCAAGTTCTCCGCTTCTTTCAATATGTTCTGAATTGTTCCGATTCCTTTGCTACATTGCCGTTCTGAATCTACATATTCCGTCAGCCTGGAGCCAAGACCGCACAGGCCGATGGGTGCTAAGCCTTTCCCTCGCTGAGTGAGATGCATATACACGCAAAGAGCAGCCACTGTCCGTTTTTTAGGAAGGGGGGTAGGCCGCTATGTTGGAGGCCATCGCTATTAGGGTGGAGGCCATCGCTAAGACCACAGCATTCAACGCCAGTTTTACACAGTTTCTGATCACCATTTAAACGTCTTAGCAACTTTCAACCTTGGAGCTCTCATCCTTAACCCCAAAGACTGCCCCAATCGTTGCGACCAGCTCTTCCATCCGAGCATCTCGACCCAAGACGAATTAGTGTCACAACTTGGAAGATCAAAGGATCTGGCCACAAAATAAAAGAGGCCTCCAACCTAGTAGCTTCTAGCTACTAGTAGCGATGGCCTCCCCCTAATATCACGGGGACCATTTACTTCAGCAAAGCCTTCCACCCGACTCGACTCCCCTACCTAAGAACGACTGGATCTTCTCCCGGTCTGTGCGCGTTTCAAGCGATCCGGAAGTGGCGGAACGGAGATCGAGGCCGGCGGCACTGAAAGGGCGCCCTTCTCGGCCATCAACTGCTCACAGCGGCGCTCCTGGAGTGGCTGTTCAGTGCACGCACACTTCGTACTTCGTGCCGATTCCTTTTGAGGATCTGAGGATCAGATTGATAAGACCATTGTAAAATATACTTTAAAGCGGTCAAAAAGAACTACGTATAGGAGACTGGTCGACTGAAATAGTTTATGTACACTACTGCATGTATGAACCATCCATGTAACTATATATGGATAGTTTGGGAATCCCACTCTGTCGAGACGTCATTTTTGCAAACAATAAGTAAAATCCAGGACAGCACACTTCAAGAAAGGTTGACAGTTGCTGCAAGATGCACCAATTCTTTTAGAGCTGGCGAGGCAATGATTTTGATCGATCGTTTGACATTGCAAAGTGATGCAAAGGGCGTAAGGGCCGCAACCGAACACTTGCGGACTTGACATCCTGCCTGGAGCTTCCACAGAACTGCTTTGAAGACCACTTTCAGTTTAGGAAACCTATAGGCTTCCGATGTTGTTCTCAAAGAAAAAACTTCATGCAATTCACCATCAACGTCTAGGAGAACTATGAGAATTTGATGTCTGGAATCTCAACAGGCTACACCAAGCCAGCCCTGCCGAAGTCAGTCTGTGCCTGGTTGTCCCTTGCGGGGAATCCTGCTTGGTTTCAACTCACTTACAAACAGAATATGAAAGTCAAAGTGTGAAAAATCCTCCCAAGTAAAAGGTTCAACAAAACATAGATATCTGAAATCCACTGAACCCTCGTTTTCATCGCACCCGAAAACGGAGCGTCCTTTTCATTGCACTTTTGTCGAAGATACTGCACCTACGGAAACGAAGCCACGAACGCGTCGAAACGCTTCTCGACGCGGCGACGCGGACATTGGGGAAACCACAGCTATTGGGAAGCTACAGCTCTTCACGAAACTGGAACGAGAACAAATCTGATACGTTTGAGATCTTTTTGGGTTTGAGCAACACTGGAATCCAGCCTCAAACAGAACTCTTCCTCTGAATAAAAGTACTACACCCTTCTTTGGGAGTATTATTGTACCAAGAACCAGTATCCCAAATCGGGTCGTGTTGGTGCTTAAACACAAACATGCCGACTACCCGTCACAAGAAGGGGTGATGCCTATAGGCTAGCGAGCGGACGCCTTCAAGGCACCCTGCTCCAGGCATAAACGCGGCGAGCGGAGGGCGGTGGGTCTGGCCGAGTTCTTCTTCCTAAGTCCATACACTCTGAACTCTGACATCGCAAATAGGCTTGACCAAGGATGCAAAACGAACCAGCAAATTACAAAAATGTACAGGAATTGCATGACACCCACATTTTGCCACCTTGTGGAATATGAATATCGACATGTTCTTTTCGTCCCTTTCTTCCCACCTGGTACACTATCTACTATACTGTAATGACCTGGAAAACTTTTAGTGACGTTACAATGTTAAACCACCAATGGACCAACCTTCCCAAAAAGGTCCTCGCTCGGTCCTCGGTCCTCGACCGTCGCGCCTCGTCGCGGTAGCGCTCCACTCGGTTCTCGAAGTCCTGGACGGTCCAACGTCCAGTGCGGAACAGGTGGAGGTTCCAGGTGAACGTTGCCCAGGGCTGTAGTGGAGGTGCTAATCTTCTTGCAGCTCGTTCACTAAGGGGATCTCAAATGTGTTCAAAGAGGTTGAACACTTTAGTTCCTGCACACAAATAAAATAGATCTGGCACTCAAATCAACCACTCAGATGTTTCTACTCCTCCCCTCGCAAAAAGGGACCGCCTCCAGGATTGCCACTTATAAAGATCAGACTACTAAGTGACTATATAGTAGTATATAGTAGTATAGTAGTCATGAGATATGGAAACACAATCCAAACTCTTTGTGCACTAAGCCACGGTTCTTTGCGCCAAACTGGTGAAGTTCGGAAGTTCACCGAAAAAGTGCCAGGCCATCGGACCCGACATGGCTCCCAGGAGAGCCAACTGAACGGCGCCCCTAGTAGCGTCCTTGTTACTAGTAGCGATGCTAGGAGCCCCTAGTAGCTTTGGCCACCTGAAAAAGAATGAACAACAACATCTCCATGTCACAGATCTTTGATGATCTTTGTGGGTAACACAGACACCATCTGTTCAGCAATCCTTGTTAAATCCTTCAAAGTCAAGGATGCACTCCGCAGCCCTTGCACCCTCCCATCGTGCATGAGTTCAGCTCCTTCTGCACGGCTTCGAGAACAGCTTCCTCAAAACTTTTCTGGACAAGCGGTCGAGTCAGTAAAATCCAACCCCAGTCGCTTCATCTACACACAAAACACCTGACAACCCGCGGGGGTATAGAAACTGTCAGCACTATTTTTCATAATTTCCCGACATCTCCCGACGAATCTTGACACCAAAAGGACTTGCAGGGTCCAGGGTCCACTCGAACGATTTCAGAGAGAGAGTATCATGATCTCGTCTACGTAGCGTCTTCGGATGTTTGTACTTGATGTTTCTCAAAGCTGTGACGCTCCCAGCCGCTCACTGAGATCGCCGGTGTCACTTGCCGCTCCCCGCTGGCCTGACCGGCTCCTGCTTTGGCCTTGGCAAGCAATCTGAGCCACACGCCACAGAAGCACTATGGCTGGGTTAGGGCTGGTGATCAAAGTGCACACCAACTGTCTTTCGCTTATTGAACCGATTGAAGACATTACTGTCGTGAGGT